ATCATTAAAAGTCCGTGGAAATGAGAAGAGTGGAGCTGAAGTTTTAGACACACCAGGCAATATCACTTCCCCAAACGTTCAACTTTAAGTGCAACAGTTTTGAATGCAAGTCAGAAGTTTGACCGTACATAGCACTAGCAGAGGACGTGCGTGAAAGGGACCAAGACCAAAAGTGGGTAGCATTTGGGAAACTTCTTGGGAGAAGGTAGAGAATTGGAACTGCCCCTGGTGATCATGAGTGGAAGAAATCAGTAGTGAGAACATAGTGTGCTGTGAATTACAAGACCCATGTGGCATATTAACCCTTCCCTCTCCCCCATGGAAATCATCCACAAAGACAATATCCATTAAACAAACAAACAACAAAACAACTGCACTTCATTAAGCTGGCAAAATAATTGAACAAGGATGCCATGAGACTGATTTGGCTCTATGTCATGGTAGCTTACATAAACTGAAATCTAAGCTGTGTATGTCTCAAGGCTATGAAATAGAAATTTAAAGACAAACAATCACAAACAAACTGCTAAGCATTAAGGTATAGCTAACCAATGCCCTGCTTCCACCTTTTCTCCAGAAAGGTCTCCCCTGAGCTCTCAGCAGTGGACCTTTCCTAACCACTTCTGGTTTGGTGCTCTCTGATTTGATACAATTTTCAATCAAACTCTTTAATGTTTTATTATGCCTCAGTTTATATTTCAACCTGACAGAAAAGTGGGTCTGAGTCCTTGACTACGTATCTCTTCAGAGAGTTGTCTGCCAAGTCTGGTGTGGGGAGGCCGCCTTTCCTGGGAAGGCCTGCCCCATAAAGCTCATGCTTGAGGCTGAAAAATCACCCTTAGGTTTTTAAACAAGAGTCATACTCCTAAGTTGAAAAACGATTGTGCGCCTAACAGTCTTAGCTCTTTCTTCTAAACAGAACGTCGAAGAGAGTGCATAGACACACTCATAAAAGCACATGCATTCATACATATGCTATACATCTAAACAAAAAACGTTCATGATGGGTATAGGTTGTGGAAAACACAATTTATTTTTGTCTTTTTTTGTTTATTTTGCCTATTCAATTGATATCACTAAACAATATTAAACTAATAAAAGCTGAAGAAATATAAAATAAAGCTAGAGCCAGGAAAAAAATGTTTGTTTAAAATAATGATGACATGAAACCTTTTTATAACTCTACAAAAGAAAATAAAATCATTCACTCTCTCTGAAATTAGGAGTAATGAAGCTACTTAATGAGAAGCAATTGTCTAAAGAAATTTAGAAAAATCAAAGAAATGAGTATACTTAAAAAATGACTTATTTTTCTGAGAAAATACAAATGCAATTTGCATATTTTTGAATAGAGAAGAATGCCTTTCAAAAGTCCACATATTTTAAGATTATTATCACAAACACATTTGGAACCATGAAGTGTATTTCAGAGTGCATAGACTATTTATTATTGTTTGATACTACTCCAGCTTCCATAATTAAAACATGCACACCTAACCTTCACTTTCTGCATACACAATGTCTTCTACAAAAATTAAACAAATATGGTATTATGGGTTTGCAAAATCATTAAAATGGCTGAACGTCTTGTAGGTAAAATAATGTAAATGTATTTGTGTTAGTTTGTATTAATTTGTCACATGAGATAAAGAAATATCTGCTTAAACCTGTACATATGCACAAGGTTTGACTGCTGCACAACCGAAAGGACTCATCTCTGTGAGAACTTGGCCTGGCTGTATGCCCAAACAAAGGACAAATGGCAGTAAAGGCCAGTCATAAAAAGTACTTTGAAAAATTCAATTATAGTTTACATTCAGTATTATTTTGTATCAGTTTTAGGTGTACAACATAATGGTTAGACAACCATAAACTTTATAAAGTGTTCTCTGGTATTTCCAGTACCTACCTGGCACTATACATAGTTATTACAGTATTACTGACTATATTTCTTATGCTCTACTTTACATCCCCATGACTATTTTGTAGCTACAAATTTTACTTCTTAGTCCCTTCACTTTTTTCACCTCGTCCCCCCGACTGCCAACTGCCCTCCCCTCTGGTAACCATCAGTCTGTTCTGTGTCTATCAGTGATTTTGTTTTATTTGCTTATATATATGTCATTCTTTAGATTCCACATATAAGTGAAATCATATGGTGCTTGCAAGGTGAATAACATGGGGCTGGCTAGTCCACTCTGTCTCTCCAGGATTTCTGAGGACTTTTTGAAGTCATCAGTTAAGGGATTTAAACAGATAAACTCAATTCAGCACATGATTCCTGAATGCACGAAATCCTATGTCAGTGGATATGTGGTTCCTATTTCACTGACTGATTTGCTTGTGTTTTTTACTTCCTTTATCTCTGGAATTTTTTGGCTTATTCCCCACATCACTCCCCTGCCCCATTTTCCAAATAGACCTTTCCACTGACTTGCGATTGTTTTTAATTAATTCTCTCTATGCTTTAACAAAATATTTGAGATTTCATCATATATTGGTTATTTTCCAAACTTTTTTGTCAATTTTAAACATTTTATTGAGTACAAGTACAGATAGGAAATCCTAAGGGTACAGCTTGATGACTTTTCACACACACACACACACACATACACAAAAACCACACCCTCGTAGCCAACACCCAGATCAAGAATGAGAACAGAAACTGAGCCTCAGAAGTGCCTCGTAGCTGCCTTTCGCCCACAGCCCCCTGCCCTGGGGCAGCCGCTATCCTGATGTCTAATAGCCTGGACTAGTCTTGCTGTGTTTCTCAAATTTATACATATTTCAAAAAAGGCAGTGTGTTGAGTTTTAATTTTGATTTTCATGTTGTTTGTTTTAAATTATTTATAGCTTTTAAATTTAATGTAGGTAAATCAAGTAATTCCATCTTACAACATTTTGGTTGGGTCTGTGGTAGGCATACGGCTGATTACTTATTTGGAAATAACTGAAAAAAAGCAGAATGAGAGTAGACTATAAAGAAAATCAAAGGCATATGCTAAATGCAAAACTATACATGTAGGGAGAGAAATTTCAATCTAGGGTGTATGTGTTGTTATTATGTTTGAAACTCAATGTTTTGTTGTTCAATTATAGTTGTCCCCATTTTTCCCTCCATTTCTCTCCCCTGCCCTACCCACTTGCTCACCTCTCACATTCAACCCTCCCCGCCATTGGCTTTGTCCATGAGTCTGTTATTCACGTTCTTTGACTTGACCTCCCCCTTCTTTCCCTTGTTATCCCCCTCCTGCCTCCCTTCTGGTACTGCTGGTTTTTTAAAAAGTCTAACTTGCTTCTATTAAGGATGTCAATATAGAATGGCAATTTGTGGTGATACTCAATTTTAATTATTACTACAAAGAATTATTATATTATCAAAAAAGAATCTTAATATTTATTGCTTTGTCAGTTGTGTTAAGTCCTTTAATGAGTGATTTTTCTCATGATCAGAAAACTAGGTTGTCAGGTTATGATTCTAAATTAAAGGATGGCTTCAGACACCACCACACTCTCAATGCGTGAGTCTGACAAGAAGTTTTTTGAACACATACTTGATAAATGAAGTCGCTATCACTAGGAGTTCAGAAAGTACATCTGGATGGATTTTTATGCTGTATTCTTTAAAATTAGAGGGGAAAAAAAAGCATCTCTGAACTATTTCAGCTAATCCATATTTCTGAATACTTTCAATTGAATCTTATCCCCATTTCTCATATTTATTATGCTAACTAATAAAATACTGTTTAATCAGTATAATACTTTTTAATGTGCTAATTAGGAAAGTGGTGATTGTGGAAAGATATACAGATAACAGATTAATATTTAATACCGCAATCTACAGCATGGCTTTCTTTCAGAAAACTAGCTCACTGCTCTCAAACTGTGCTTTCTTAATAGAATTTGTTATCTCCTCACACTTAGGATTAAACTACATGTAACTGGCATATACATAATAAACCTTTCACACCAATTATACCAAATCTATGAAATATGTTGTCTTTAAGAAAAAAGACCATTAATGATGAGAATAAAATATAGTCAACTGTGTCATTAAAATGTACAGTATATTTTGAACGTAATGATCCATTTACAGAAAAAAATTTCACTAGGATTTTAGCAAGCCTAGGACTCTCATAAAACATAAGAAATATCTAACCTATTTTTAAAAAAATTAAAATTAGTCTTTAGCTGGCATACCCAGTGGAATTTCAGAGCCAATACACATTAGAGTAGTTAGATTTAATTATAGCTATTTTCAACTGCAAAAAAGTTCATCATTGGCAAAAAGAAAATTGATGAACAATATGTTATTATTAAATTTTAGATTATGAGCATATATTGATTTTGAAATGTAGTTTTTGCCAATTTTATCAGAGACCATTCGAACTTTAAAACAATATTTCGAGAGAATAGTACTTTGGAGGATTAATGACAGTATCTGTAATGTTCATTCTTCCTTGATTTTGGTGGAAGTACCACTCAGTAAATTTAAGACATGAAAATGATATAACCCCATCTTTTTTTCAGTTGAAGCTTATTGCTCTTAAACTTCCCTGCCAAGAATCATTATTGTAGCAATGCATTTAAATGTTACTTTCCCAGCCAGTCTGAGACCAGTGATGGGTACAAGAAATACCTACAGGGGTGTACAACCTGGGACTTGTGGGCCACATGTGGCTCAGGATGGCTGAGAATGTGGCCTCACACACAATCGTAAACTTACTTAAAACGTTATGAAATGTTTTTGTGATTACCTGTCACAATGTATTTAATGTGTGGCCCAAGACAATTCTTCTTCCACTGTGGCATAGAGATGCCAAAAGGCTGGACGCTACTGCTAGAATATGATCTAACATGCAAAACATAAAAACAGAAGGAAAGAATGTTTTTTTAATTTAATCTTCATTGAATTTTTTTCCCCATTACCATTTAGTCCCCTTACACCTTCCCGCCCCCTCAGCGATCGCGGCACTGTCATCCGTGTCCATGAGTCCTTTAAAAATATGGAATGCTTCATTAAATTTCATGTCATCCCTAAGCAGGGGGATGTGAATCTTCTCTGTATCATTCTACTTTTAGTGTATGTGCTGCCAAAACGAGGACAGGCATCATTTTTTTTTAAGTGAAAGACTAATACTTTAAAAGTAAAAAGGTATGGTAAATATTGAAAATGTCTGACGTGAGTATCTTTATGCTATGTATAATTTTCTTAGTCCGTTGGTTTCTATAGAGACCCTTTTTCTGTCCTTATACTGCTTTGAAATTTAAGATGATTTTCCTGGGACCCTTATTCCCCTCATATGTTATGTCATAACCTTGACCACTACCTAAGATGCAGGCTCTACATCACCCCTATCCGGACCATTTGTCCAGCCTTGTCTTACTAACTCTGCCAACAGTGCTGTGCTTCAGGCTCAATAGGCTACTTGCTATCCCACAAGGAAACTAAACTCGTTCCCCTATTAGGGCATTTGAACATGTTCTTACGGCTGCTAGAAGGTACTTTTCCCTCTACTCTTCACGTGACTGAAAACTTACTCTCCGCTGCTCAGCTTAAACATCTCCCAGTGAGGAAATCAGTGACTAATGTATCTCAGTGGCTTCCCTGACTGCCAACATCTGAAGGTCCCTTCACATTTTGTTTCTCTCTCATGACAGCCTGCTTCTAACATATGTGAATTTTGTGCTGTCATAGACTGTGCTTTTATACTAATGGACATAGATAGGTGTAATGTATTTAAACAAAAGTTTGCTTACTTGTTTACTGTTTATCACCTACTTTGTCTTCATTTAGATACTTTGCATTGCCCAGTACTTTATTGTATCAATGGTATATATGAAGCCTGTCACATAGAATTAAAATAATATTTGATAATATTTTGCTGTGGTTATCCTTAACCTCTATTCATTCTAGGAAACTTTAAATTACTTATTTATGTTATAATTAGACTTAAAAATTAAAGATACCAAAGACTAAACAATAGTTATTTGAAAATACAAACTCTGAAACAAACACTAAAATATAAACATTCCCTAATCAGATATGTAATTCTTCATATTCAAATTATTTTATAGCATTATCTCCACCACTTTCTCATTTCTAGTTTCCATTCTTCCAAACATTTACTTGCTGTTCCCTGAATAAAGATAGCATGTTCCAGTATTTGCTCAAATATCGCCATCCATTTGACCACAAAAACATGGCCATTTCTTTCTGTAAGTTATTTATTATTTTGCTTAAATGTCACTACTCTCATTATCCTTCTATCTCAGAAGAAAGTATCCTTCCTTTTCTTAGATCCATACCATTTGTCTCTGTTTTCATCTTAAACTCAGTTGGAGGATTTTGAAATGAATGCAAAAAAAAACCCTAGAAATTATCCTGAATAACTATTCTCTCAACACAGATGTTCAATTTCCCAGTTTCCTCATATAACTTTATCCACATTACACTCATTTCTCTATATTCCATTACTAGTTCCAACTTTCATGTTGCATTACAATTCCACAGGCTATCACAACAAGATACAAAGGTTTTCCCTTTTTTCTATTATCTTGGCCTCCTCAAAACATCTCACAAAAAATACCAGGTTGAATATCTAAAATACCAAGGTGACAGTATCACCTCTTGAAATAAAACACTTTAGGGCTCTCTGTTTTCTTCAGGTCGAACCTGAGTTTTTGATCTGGCAGATGGAAACTCTGGGTGCGCTTCTGGCAAAATTTTCCTATTTCTTTGTCCTTCATTCCATTCTCCATTTTCATACTCCAATAATTCCGAACTGCTTGACATTCTCTACAACAGCAGTTCTCATGTTGTTTCTTCAGCTTGGGAGCCCTCCTCACACGCTCTTCTTGTCCTTAACTCTTACTTTATGGCATTTCAAAGAATAAGATCTAACTCAACCTCCACCTCATTCACCACCAGCTCTCCAAGTATGTAGTTTATACACTCTGATACCACCCTGTGTGCATGTGTGTGCATATGTGTGCACGTATGGAGAAAGGGGTGGTGGGTTCTGTGTGTATCCACTTGTATAATTCTGCATGAATGGAATTAGAGTCCCACACTGGTCATTTTGCAATTGCATGACCTTGGGAAAGATACCTCTCTGTGTCTGGATTTCCTCCTTTGATATAAGGATGAGACCTGAACCTAAATTAAAGGACTGTTATAAAAATATAACAAATCACATTTGACACAAGAAAAGCATCCACTAAATGCTCCATGCTTACTTTGTTGTGATTATTAGATGTGTCATGAACATCTGCTTCTGGGTCTGTCTCTCTCCCACATTAATTCCTTGAAAGCAGAATTCACGGCTTGCTTATTTGGGTGTCAGCACTGCATACAATAATGGCAAGCACATATACTTATTGAAAACTTTATAAAGAATGAACAAACTGATTATTTTGAGAATATGAAAACATTTGTACAAATGCAGCATAATTTATATGTGTTCTTTATTTTTATGTATATATTTAATCAAGCAATATATATTTAAAAACATGTAATATTATTTAAAATCTAGACATGACCTGTGTGTTTAATAGCAACCCCTGGAGACTGCGCTTCAATTCCAAATAAGCAAATAAAATACTGAAAAATGGCAGGCAGTGAAACCTGGAAGTGGTGCTTACAGACCAGCTTCAGCATTGGCGCAGCTTGTTTCTATTCAAGTCCCGACTTTAGATCCTTTTTTTGATGTGAGATCTATGATCCTAAGGGAATTTATTTTTCAAACTTTAAAGTATTTAGCGATAACTTCTGAGGTAATGAGAAGGAGCAGTGAACACTCCGAGATCACACAGCATTTGTTATTTACACATAAAATGGGTGATTTCTTATTTCCATATGGTTTTGCCGAGACCTACAAATGGGAAAGTAGAGGTGACTTTGGCAAAATGGCTAATCTAGTGCACTTCTAAAAGCTCACGCATGTAGTCTAATAAAGTTACACTACTTAGAGCTTGGGATTGTCAATATGTAATTGTGGGTACAAATGAAAGAATTGGTCACAGAGAGAAGAAAATGGAGGAGAGAGTTAATTATAAAACAATATGATTTTGTGAATTATAAATGAAGTGAAAAAAGTTTCTAGAGAAAAAAACAATTAAGCACATCAAGATCAATCCTTATGTTTATTTAAAAAATTTTTCATTTGGAATGCTAATATTTCTTGACATCATATAGTCAACAATTTTAACTAAAATGCTATTGATTTGTCTAAGTAATGTTTCCAAGGGGTATAGTGGAGATATTTACTAAGTAATTTAAATATATACCTTATTCTGTTTGCTAAAAATATATGTTGTACTATCCAGTAAGTTTATAATTTATGCAATTCCAGAATTTTCTTCCCTATACAGGTATAATGATTTTTACATTAATTTAAATAAATGTGTGTGTATATATAACATATACATATACATGTGCATATATATATAACATATATACTGATACATGCATATATACATATATATTTTGAATTATAATTCTGTGAAATCAAGCAATTTTTGCATTTCACATTTATTTATATGTGGTGTGTTAATCTGATTAAGAAAAAATGAACTGCAGTGTCTCCTTTCAATATCAAATTGTAAATGAGAAGAATCAATGTAACTTTTGTTTCATTCTGTTTTGTTGAATATAACAGAATGAAAGAAAAGGAAGTCATTTAGTGTATTTCATGTCATAATATTTGTGGACCCAAGGATCTCTGCCAGATCAGGAGGAAACTGAAAATAAGAATGGAAACTAATGAATAAAAGAGTATCATGAGACTAGTTGACCAGAAAAGATAGTTGAGGAGATGTTTAAATTACTGATTTGTAAGTGATATTTCATTGTCAATAAAGCCAGAAAATACTCATAAGACTCTGTATTATTGGTGAAGGGAGAAAATACAATTGGTGGTATGCAGATCAAGAATCAGCTTAAGTGGATATATCAATGTTCATCCAAGTGGATGTGTCGATGCAATTGTCTGAGAATGATGGCATGATTTTGGGTATAGAAAAAAATGTGCAAGTCAATTGCTATTATAGACCAATCAACATTAATGGTGAAAGATACTAGTTTGATGTAAAAAGAAAAGGGAGAGAACATAACATGCAATTTAAAGCAGCGTTTTATGTATTTTAAAAGTAAATAAATTAAAAAAAAATAAAAACTAAATATACAGGAAAAAAAAATAAAGCAGCGTTTTCTTCTCACTTTGTAGAGCTGTATAATTGGAAAGAAAAAGAATGTTATAAAAATAACAACCAACAAGGAATTCTATACTAAATTTGAATTTGAGGGTTATGAAAATTACAAAGTAAACTGTACAATAGAAAAGAAAACCTTTCATTTGGTTGCTTATGGGGTGATGTTGTCTTCTGGACAGAATCATTTTTTCACTTAAGTGGGCAGACAGAGTTTTGAGGAAGCTTTTATTGATTTTCAGGTGTTATTGCTATTAAAACAGCAAACAAAAAACCTGGGAATCTTGGGGAAAAGAGTAGTGAGGATTGGGTGAGCTAAAGGGAATGACTGCAGAGAAAGATGATGTAGAATTTGCATCTATTTTGGTCTTCAATAGAAAAGCTAGATGTTAAGCTTGTTAAGCTTATTGATGGAACTATGAGGCTTCATAAAGGTGCTGGGTAATAAAGGGTGCTTTTGGTATCAATCAAGTGCTACAGCATTGCTTTTTGAGGAATAGTCGTAACAGAGTAATTAGTTGGGAGGGCCGTGAAAACATTAATAAGAGCTATATACTTGGGTGATGGATAGCAAGTAAATATTACTTCACTTATTTAACTATAAAATAATGTTTTTATTTTTATTGAAATAATGTTTTTCTCTATTTTGTCTCATTTCTATTTTCTATCATGTGATATTCAAATATAAAAGATACATGATTAATAACATATGATTTCAGCTTCTTCCAATAGAGTTTGCCCAGGGTTGTTTTTTTAATTATTATTTTTCTCAAGATCTTTTTATACAATTTTTAGAAATATTTTGGAAATAATCTGAGCTAAAATTGGAAAGGACTAAATAAATAAAATTGTTACCTTGATCAAAATTGTCATTCAAGATGTTTTGCAGCTTACTT